GCTTTTGCGTCTAGCATTTACAGCTGATTCTTTTTCAAACTGATTTGACTGTTCCTTGTCTGTTTTAAATTATTTCATCTAAGTATTTCAAAAGTATATTATGTTCTGTGTCACTTAGAGACCTATAAAACACCCCAACACCCACGTGCCCAAAACAACAATTACCCAACGTCTGTCCTTGGCTGAGGTCAGGTTGATCCAAGCCAGACTCAGGTTGCACACCTCTGTGTCAGGAGAACCTCATCCAGGTACAGCAACCTAACTAGTCATGTTCCTCTCATGGAGAGCAGAAATTCGAGAGGACACACGAAAGCACACAGTCACTTGGGGCATTACCTTAGAACTGGAGTATGCCATACCCACCTCATTTTGTCAGCCAAAGCAGGCCACGTGGGTACCCCTCTGCCCCATATCTGAACTCCTCCAGGCTCTGCTCAACGTTCTTCCTAAATGTATAGACAACTTCTTTTCATAAACACAAATTCACATCCACATGGGCTTTGTCTTTGTCCTCCTGTGTGATGTAAGTGGAGGAAGTTTCCCTCTGAGAACATGTGTTGTTTCCATCTGGCCTCTTGAGATGCTTCCATTTGGGACAGCTTCATGTTGACTCTCAGGATGAGTTTCCTGGCCACACCACACTCACACCCCACATCTGCCTCATAACTCACCTCCTCAGCAGATTACTCAACCTCAGGGGAACATGTGTTTTCTCCATCATTGTATCTCTCTGTGTGTCTCTGTCTCTCTCTCTGTCTCTCTCTTTGTCTCTCTCTCTCTGTCTCTCTCTGTCTCTGTCTCTCTCTCTCTCTCTCTCTCATGTGTGTGTGTGTGTGTGTGTGTGTGTGTGTGTGTGTGTGTGTGTGATGAGTGCATGCACTGTGCATTCAGATGTGGAGGTGAGAGGTGACTTCTATCATGCTCTACTTTATCTTTTAAAAATTTATTATGTATTTATTTTTAGTTCTTTGCACGCACATATGTTTGTGTAGGAGCAGGTACACACACATGCAGTTTCCCTCTAAGGTGAGAAGAGGGAGTGAGATACCCCAGAACCGGAAACTGAATTCTGGTCCTCTGCAAGAGTAGTTCATGCTTTTAACCACTGGGCCATCTCTCCAGGTTCTCTACCTTATTTTTTGAGACAGGGTCTCTCACTGAACCTGGATGTCAATGAATAACTAGCCTGGCTGGGTAGAAGGCCCTGGGGATCCTGGAATGGCAGTGTACTCACCATGCCCAGATCCTCATACCAGCGCTGAAGATCTAAATTCAGTTACAGGCCGGGCGGTGGTGGCGCACGCCTTTAATCCCAGCACTTGGGAGGCAGAGCCAGGCGGATCTCTGTGAGTTCGAGGCCAGCCTGGGCTACCAAGTGAGTTCCAGGAAAGGCGCAAAGCTACACAGAGAAACCCTGTCTCGAAAAACCAAAAAAAAAAAAACCAAAAAATAAAAAAAATAATAATAAATAAATAAATTCAGTTACACTTGTTCAGCAAGCACTTTACCAACTGGTTGGTCTTCCCAGACCCTCTGTAGGTTTTTTTTTCCTAAGAGAGAGACTGAGAAGGAGAAGTAAAACATAAATGATTTAAGTTAAGGTCTTAGGGGCTGGAGAGATGGCTTAGTGGTTACACTGGCTGCTCTTCTGGAGGACCCAGGTTCGATTCCCAGCACCCACATAGAAGTTCACAGCCATCTGTAACTCCAGACCCAGGAGATTCAACACCCTCTTCTGGTCCCCATGGGCACCAGGAATGCTTGTAGTGTACAGACAGACATACGTACAAAGACACCCATATACATAGCTTTATTAAATTAAGGTCTTAGTAAGTCAAGGAATTTTTAAGTTTCTGAAAACAAACTTTTAGGAAAACAAACTTTCAGAGGGATTGTGAAGACGATTATGTGTTTGTGTGGCATGCATGTGTGCATATATATGCTTGCATATGTGTAGGTACACATATATGTACGGGGGGGCAGGGGTGGACATTGGGTGTTTTCTTCGGTCATTCTAAACCTCATGTGCTGAGGCAGAGTCTCTCACTTGAACCCAGAGCACACAGGTTCAGTTAATCTGCTAGCCAGCTTGCCTCAGAGACCCCATGTTTCCACCTAGAAAGCACTGGGAGTGTAGGTGGGCCATCATACATACTGGTCTTTACTTGGGTGCTGGGGATCCAAACTCCAGGTCCCATACTTGCATGGCAAATGCTTGCCCACTGAGCCATCTCCCAACCCTCAAGGCTATTTTTTGGTCTTGGCACACCATAGAAGTTGCCTAAACAAACACCAGGGGACGTCAAGGGAATGTGATCGTCCCTGGGGTCCCATCCATTCTAGCCAGTTATTTATTACCTGTGGCTCTAGTTCAGAGACTCTTGTGTTGTTTCCATCTCTCTCTGAGTTCAGATCTCACCACATAGCCCAGGTTAGCCCTGAGCTTGTAGTCTTTCCATCTCTGCTTCCTGAACACTTGGGACGACCATGCTCGGCTCACTCTCTAGGCTTTGGTAACTGCTCCCTCTATTCATTTCCTCCCCTTCTCTTCGTGTTTTGTTTAGGTTTGCATAGTCTTGCTGACTGGCATGTGCTGACATTAATACTTCCTTTGTGGGGTTCAATGACTGTCACACCTGTGACAGGGTTTCCTTACTTTTTTTTTTTTTGAGACAGAGTCTCATGTACCCTTAAACTGGCTATGCAGAGAGGCTAGCCTTGAACTCCCGACCCTCCTGTCTCTCTGCTGAGTGGTCCTGAGTATCTCCAACACGCTCGGTGACCTCACTTCTCATGCTGTTTCCATCCTGCTCTTTCCTGTGGCTTCCACTTGCCCAGTGAAGCACATGGCACGTCTGTAATTCTCCACCTCTTCTGCAAGACTCTTCAGCTTTAGTGACCACAGCCTTTGCACAGACTGTTAGTAGTGGGGTCACCCCAGACTCCACTCCTTTTGATCATTTGGGGTTCCCTCTTGGTTTCTTTATTTGTCTTGGTTAGGGTTTGGAGTTTTCTTTCGTTTTAATTTTTTTGTTGTTGTTTTTTTTTTTTTTGCGGGGGGTGGTGTTGTTGTTTGCTTGTTTGTATATATCTAGTTTATTTGTTTTCAGACAGTGTCTCACTATGTAACCCTGGCTGGCCAGAAACTCAGAGATCCACCTGCCTCTGCCTCCCAAGTGCTAGGCTTAGAGGTGTGCATCACCATGCCTAGCAATGCTTTGGGTTTCATGTAGCCCAGGGAGCTGGCCTCAAGCTCACTATATAACTGAGGGTGGCTTTAAGTTCCTGATTCTCCTGCCTCTTCTTCCTAATGCCACACATGGTTTATGTGGTGCTTGGGACAGGGCTTTGTGCCTATGCTAGGCAAGCGCTCTACTAACTGAGCTACACCCCAGTCCCTGAGGTTCCCTCTTGGTTGTCGACAATATTTACCTGCTTCACTGGGGGCTAGAAGTGGAAGGTTCTTCTCTGTTCCCCTCCTCTGCCAGTGGACATCACCACAAACTCCCTGAAGGCTATGTGAACAAGGATAGGTGGGAACACACACCCTCCGCGTCCGACTCCCGCAATCCTAAGTCCTCGCAGCAGCCTGCATGTGTGCACCCACCAGACTTGCGGTCAGCCTTGCAGCACAGCCTCCCTCCTGTACTCTGGCCAGGTCGCTCTTCTGTGGGAGGGAAGGACTCGTGTCTAGACTCCTGCTCTTTTGTGCTTCTGTGTCCTTATCTTCCTTGTGATGTCCTAAATCACCTGTGGTAGCTGCAAAGGTTTGTGATGAGTTTGTAGATGTGACCACCTTCCTCCTGATCACACACCCTCTCACTGGAGGTGTGACCACCTTCCTCCTGGTCACACACCCTCTCACTGGAGGTGTGACCACCTTCCTCCTGGTCACACACCCTCTCACTGGAGGTGTGACCACCTGCCTCCTGGTCACATACCCTCTCACTGGAGGTGGGACTCTATGAGATCTCACCCTCAGACTCTGCTCTTGAGATGGGCACACCCCCACAGGACAGCCAAAGCTCAAGGATTCCACCCTTTTCCTTGACCCCTCATTTCCAGCGCAGGCCTGAGGAGTCAACTTACTTATCCCAGGAGCTCAGATTGACCCTCGAAAGTTTTCCCTCAAGGGCACCTTCAGACTGGGGGTCACAGGGTGGGGCTGTTGGAGGACAGAGCCCACACTGGCATCACAGCCAATGTGTGCACCCAGGTCTGGGTTGTAACATCCTCATGTGCAGAGCAAATGGCCTTCTGCACTGCCTAGCCCTAAGGAGCACCCATCGTCTGCGCCTCCAGCACCTTCTGTGCTGACCTTGCCGGTGCCAAGCAGGTACCCCCCCATTCCCTCCTCCCACAGGTCTGTGTGTCTGACTATGGGGAGCCTCAGCACCACAAACCAGGTCTGAAGATGGCCAGGCCTGATTTGCTTGTTCCCAAACCCCACTCCAGGTCCTGAAGATTTCTATGCTAAGCAGCTTCCCTCTCCACATGCAGTGGAGAAACAGTGACAAGGAGGGTGGCCTTGAACCTTCAGCGGGCAGTGAGAGTAGTCAGAGGGTGAAGGTTGCCACTAGGGAGGTCCCCTGCCTACAAGGACCTGTTTCCCTAAGTAGCCTATTTATTCCTGTGGTAGGGCTGCAAGAACTTTCTGTAAGTGCAGCCCAGGGAGACAGGCAGAGTCTGGGTAGTTCCAGAAGGACAAGAAGATAGGAATAGCAAGACAGGTGGACCCTTCCCCTTCCCCATTGAAGCCTAGCAGAAAGGAAGAGGAGGAGGAGGGGGGGAGAAGAGGAGGAGGAGGGGAATAAAAGAGAGGATGACTGGACACTAAGTTCCATGGTCCCCTGTCTCGGTTCCCTGGTAGCCATCCCTCATGGTGTGGTGAGCACTAGAGTCCACAGCACTGTGCACAGATGGCAGCACTGACGTAACCAGACCCCCAAGGCTCCACGGAGCAGGTACTGGAGGAGGCTGAGCACTGTGTTTCTCCCCAGGGAAGCCGCTGCCCCTCTTAACTAGCCGACTACGCTTCTCCCAGGAAGAGAGGACGGTTGTAAAACGAGGTAGCCTTTGCCTTCCCTGCCAGGCAGCCCTAAGGAGGTGGGCTTGGCATCTGGGTCTGCCATGGGTAGGGTAATGTAGATGGCCAGGGAGTCCAGGAGGGGGTGGGGAAGGGAAGATATTGACAGGGACACCAGTCTCCAGTGCCTGTGTATGCAGCTGGGCACAGCTGGGTACCACCAATGAGGCCGGCCTGATACCATCTTTTGGTGTACTGACTACAGGGTAAGGACAGGGTGGGATAGTGTAGTACCTTAGAGCTGGTGGGGCAGCAAGGTAGGAGGGCATGAGCAGCCTCAGTCCTGAGTGTTCTGGGCCACAATAGGGGTCAATGGAGGCAGAGAATTTTAAGGGGATCCCAGGTCACTGATGTAAGTAAAATTCACACTTGGGGTTCAGCTGGGGAAGACCAGGGCTGTGCTTCAGACCTATCCTGGAGGTGTCCATGGTGGGTGGGGGAGAATGGTGGCCCACCCCATCTACCCTGCCCCTGTTATGCCCTGCCATGCCCACCCCAGCTTGTACCTCACCAAGGCCTGCATAGTGTGCACCCGAGCCTCTGGACCACCCGTTCATCTTCCCACACCTCACACTCCTCCTTCTGCTCCTCCAGCTGTCAAAGAGTCATCACAGAAAAATGACGTCTGCATCACCCCAGGCTGCGTGTTGGCAGGTGAGTCCCTCCCCTAGGGTGGCCACAGTGCTGTTTGGGGCTGTCTGAAGCCAAGCTGAGCGGCACGTAGGCTGAGGTTGGCTCCCACGTGCAGGCCCCCAACGCAGGTCGGGCTGTAGAGGCCCAAGAGCTCTTATCTGTTTATAGAAAACAAAGTCAAATTAAAGGATATCTTTTTATTTCACATTTTCTCCCAAGACTTTGTCTTAAAATTGGGTGCCACAGACTACCTCTGCAGGAGGCAAAAAAAAAAAGTTCTATGGGGAAAAAGTAGAACAGGTTTTCTTGTCTGAGTGGGTCCAGGAGCCCCCCGGTGATGCTTTCTTTGAAATTTCCAGCTGCAAGACCCCAGACCAGGCAGTTCCTGGGCAGAGTCAGCAGAGCCACGGAGCCCATAACTCAGGCCCCTGTCAGCAACATGCCTTGGATCCTAGGACACAGCTGTCCCTTCTGATAAAAAAATAAACCTCAATACTGTCAGGCAGTAGACAGGATGGGGGATCTTTTTCTCCCCTGAGGGACAGAGTACCTGAGGAGTGAGAGGCCACTGGGAATGCATGGAGCAGAAGGGCTATGACCAGGAGGCCAGGGTCCTGATGCCAGTTTAGAGCACAGGGCCACCAGCTGGGCCCTTCCTGTGAGCAGGAACCATCTTCCAATATCAGGTCCTCAGGAGGGAGAAGAAAGGAAGGTTCAAGGTCCTGTTGCTCATCAGTGGCAGCACTAGTCCTCGAAGCCACTTGGGCAATCCTTCCACTGTTTCTAGCCTCCCTGTGACTCAGGGAGAGTGACTAATTTGTCCAAGAGCAAGTTAGTAGATGCCAGCAAGTTAATAGTGGATATTAAATCTCAGACAAACTGTCCCCAAAGGGCCGACACTGTCTCTCAGACTTAGAGACAATGCCAAGATGTCCACAACTCAGGGTCTGCTCTCCTCCCTCCTCTCTCCACCCCCTCTGGATAAACAGCTGCCAGAATCCTTCAGAACATGGACAAATCGAAGAAGCCCTGTGACAACTTCTACCAGTATGCTTGCGGAGGCTGGCTGCGGCATCATGTGATCCCCGAGACCAACTCCCGATACAGCGTCTTTGACATTCTCCGGGATGAGCTGGAGGTCATCCTCAAAGGTGAAGAGTGGCCAACCATCTGGGGCATAGAGGTGTCACTGAGCCGTGGGCAGGCTCCTGTTCAGCGTTTAGGTAGCAGGGTCAGTGGAGACATCATGCCTAGGACTTGGAGTGAACTGGGACTTCGGTGTGCCTTTGTGCAACCTGATGACGCTTGTCCAGGGCCAGAAGGGGCCCCAGCAGTCACCTCAACCTCTGTTAAGCTTTCTCCTCTGCCCACAGGGGTGCTGGAGGATTCCGATGTCAAAGACCGGCCGGCTGTGGAGAAGGCCAAGATATTGTACCGCTCCTGCATGAACGAAAGTGAGTGGAACCACGTGCCAGGGCCCAGCCGGCTCCAGCACCACAGGGCACACCAAAGCGCCATGGGATGGGCATGAGCATCATGCAGGGCATATACAAAGTATCTGTGTGCTGTGCCTCACCTGGCCGGGCTCATTACCAGCTGCCCTGTGCTTTGTGCTTTGTAACTTTAGCCTGTGGTGACATAGTCCAAAGGTACTGTTCCTGTCTGCTGAGCTACAGAGTTGGGGTCAGCTATCTTCCCTGGGCATCGCCTAGAGGTCTGAGGTTGATTCCTGTGTCCCAACCATGGAACTCAATGAGACTGTGGTTTTATGAGTTTATCTCCCTCAAAACTGCTACTTGGGCATGGCCAGGGCTGTCTTATCTCCACAAATCATGTGGCCAATACTCACAAGGCACAGACAACTTCCTCCAGATTCTCACATTTACTTAATTTCTTGCCTGAAAGGCTAGGTATCCAAGGCAGGACGACAGCAGTATGTGAACAGAACCCTGAGCCCTTGCCTCCGCTTCCAGCCCATTAGCCACAGTAGCAGCCCATCAGCTACACAGAACCCTGCTCCATTGGACGGAGGCAGCCAGGACTTCATTTATGACCTCATTATGACAGTTTCTCTGATTTTGTCCCGACTTCCAAATTAAGCCCACACAGAGGAAGCCAGATATGAGATATGCCGCTGTCACACCCCATGGGATGCTTCTCTTATCACACACCCACAGCGTCTTGAGGCTACTAGCCTCCATCGGACTCATCTGGTGCCTCTCTTTCCACTGAACCACTGTCCTTTCCCTGTGGCCTCTCAGCCCTGCCACAGACCATGACCGTGGACATCAGCCCCTTCTTACTGCCAGCTCTGAAGTACTGCCGCTATCATCCGAGGGTCCCTCTGTATCTAGGGTGACTTCTAGGGTGTATCTAGGGCAGCTTCCCTAGAGGGAAGCTGCTCTGGGCTTTTCGCCCAAGCCTTTAGACTGCCATTATGTTACAGAAGCAAGTCGCGTGACCCCTGTGTGACTCCACTCCTGCCCAGACACCTGTCTCGGGGATTCCCTCCTGACCACCACTTCTTTCTTAGGCTTGCTCTTCTTCTGCCAGCTACCAAGTCCCCAGCCTCCTTTACCCCAGGGGACTGTGTGCTTCACTGGCGACCCTTGACCTAAAGCTAAGCCTGTGACCATGTGTCCTGGCACCTGAGCCACCGGAGTCTGAGAAGCATCCACTCCTTCTCTTCTCAGGTGTGATAGAGAAGAGAGACTCTAAGCCCCTGCTGAACATCTTAGATGTGGTAGGAGGCTGGCCTGTGGCCATGGACAAGTGGACTGAGATCATGGGTAAGTACAGGCAAGTTTTCAGACTTAAACCCCACAACTGCCCACAGGCTAGCTACCTGCTCTTAGAAAGCCCCAAGAGGCTCATTCCTCTCAGAGACAAGCTTAGGCTCCACACTAGGGAGTCAGTGGCATCTATGAGGGGCTCACTGAGGCTGGTCCCCTGATACTTGCACTGGGGCATCCCTCCTAGTATTCTAGACACCAGTCTTCCCATCCCTGTTCAGCCCTCTGAATGTGGCCCACCTCTAACGCAGGGGCAGGGATAATGCCTGGAATAAGGCATCTCCCCCCTCCACACACACACGGTGATTCTCTCAGTCACTGTTTCCCTGTGGACCTTTGAAGAACTGTCCCTAAAAGCCCCCAAAGTCTCACAGTGAATTCACTGCCTGAGCCAGGCAGGGCTTCCTATACTCCCAGAATGCTGTGCTTAGGAGGCAGTTCCCTGTCTGGAGAGGGGCTGTCTGGTCTCCAGCATGGATACTGACTCCTCAGGCCCCAAGTGGGAGCTGGAACGGCAGCTGGCTCTGCTGAACTCACAGTTCAACAGGCGTGTCCTGATCGACCTCTTCATCTGGAATGATGACCAGAACTCCAGCCGGCATGTCATCTATGTATGCAACACCCTCAGTGGGGAGGCGGGGTCAGGGCCAGCAGGGTCCTTGAGCCTAACTCCGGGCTTTGCCGCAGAGCAGGGAGATAGATAGGGTGGTGGCTGGGGGGGATCTGTGAGCGTTCTATCTCCACAGCTTAGTCCACAGTGTGAATTGTGCTAAGTGGGGCTCCCATGGGGCCTCATGGCCCCTGCTGTGTTCTGAGAGGCTTGTCCTATGCTTAGCTTGCTTCTTACCCACAGTGAGGTCTTCGGCACCTGGGCTGGAGGCCTCCAGAAGCCCTAACTGGAGGGTCAGAGAAGCACACTCAGATGCCATTTGGGGTAGACTGTGAAGCAAGTCCCTCCTGTGGGGACTTGTGCCCCTCATCCAGCCCCTCTCTGTCAGGGAAAGGCTTGGGTTCGGAAGCATTTGCCTTCCACAGGAAGCCAGTGTTCTGCCAGGCACAGTCCTGGGGGCAGGGGACTGCTGCCCACCTCAGCCAGGCTGCAGGGATCCCCACCACCCACCAGGAGTCACACCCTCTGTTTCCAGATAGACCAGCCCACCTTGGGCATGCCATCCCGGGAGTACTATTTCCAAGAAGGCAGCAACCACAAGGTAAGCAAGGGTCCTCAAGGCCCAGGTCAGATGCAGCTCCCTTCACATATCCTGGCCCCCACTGGGGCTCAGCACTCCTGTTTGTCCACTAGCCTTGCTCCCCACAACCGGCCTCTGTAAGCACTTGTGGGTATGTGGCTAGGCACTGAGCACGGGGGACACACATGGACACCCAGTTTCCACACGGTGTCAGCCCTGAGGTGAGTGAGCTCATCTGCACAGGCAGTCCATTCGGCTTGACCCACCTATGCAGAACCAGGCCCAGTGTTTGGGAAGCAGGCAGAGGCCCTGAGACTGCTCTTCAGAGTCTGCTCCTGTATCTGTGGAAAGAATTCAACTGTGGAGTGGCCCAGGATGGCCAGGGTAGAAGGAAGAGTTGGGATAGACAGAAAGAAGGCAGGGACAGCAAAGACATCTGATCAGGAACAGGGTAGGAAAAGGCAGGAGGCAGGAATGACCTTCCAGCAGGGCTGGAAGTACTAGTAGGCACTGAGCTGCCTGGGATTTGACAGATGGGTGAAGCCAGAAGGAAGGATGGTAGCAGGGTACAGAAAATTAGGACCTGGAGCATCCCAAAACCTCATGCGTGGCCCCCAGTCCAATCCAGCAGCTGAAAGAGCTAGACACCAGTGGATGGGGCAGTATTCAGCTTCAGCTAGAGTGAGGAAAGCCCCTCCAAGAATGGGCACCAGGAAGCATGTCCAGCTGGATGGGACAACTTAAAGAGCCAATCTCCCATCTCATAGCCAAATCATGGCTGGGGCAGTCCAACCTCATCCTTGCACCAGTGGCTGAAGAGTTACTGAGCACCTGTGGAGGTCAACTTGGTACTGTGCAGCCCTGAAAAACTGTCCCTACCCATAGAGGCCTGGGCATGGGTCATTCAGCAAAAAGGAGTTGTGACCAGAACTTGGTCCTGAGCTGTATGGCATGGCTAGGACATGTGACTCCATACCAAGTTTAGGGAGTAGACCCAGGCCACAGGACCCAAAGACCATCATGCAGGCTTGTCCCTAGAGTGGGATCAAGATGTTAGTGTCAGCTGGGTGTGGTGTGGACAGTCTCCATGCTCTGTTCTGTGCTGTCTATGCCGGAGCATGTTGGGGAGGCTAGAGGGACAAGATTCCAGGGGACACACCATGTCACACACCACCCCCACCCCACAGAGTGCTCCATGGTGGCCAAGGTGGCCAAAGCCGCCCAGCTCCATCCATCGTCCTTTGGCCCAGGTGCGGGAAGCCTACCTGCATTTCATGATGTCAGTGGCCACCATGCTGAGGAAAGACTTGAACCTACCCAAGGACAACACTCTGGTGCAGGAGGACATGACGAAAGTGCTGGAGCTGGAGGCACATCTGGCCAACGTGAGGCAGGGCCGTGCTGGGAGGCTCGGGCTAGGTGCTGAGTGCCACACCATGTGACCCCTAGTTCCCACACAGGCCACAGTCCCCCAGGAGGAGAGGCATGATGTCACCAGCCTATACCACAGGATGGACCTGGTGGAGCTGCAGGAGAGGTTTGGTCTGAAGGTGAGACCCAGGCACCCACCCAGGAAGTAGTACTGGCCCAGCCCCAACCCTCCTGGGTACTCATTCTCCACACAGCTATTCCTGCCTTAAGGGAACCGTATGGCGGCACCCAGGCAGATAATGCCTTTAAATGAGCACAGCAAAGAAAATTCCAGGGGACAGGCCTCCTCCATAGGGCAGGATACAGCTGCTACAAAAGGCCACGTCAGAGAGAGGGCATGGTTGGAACAAGGTTCATGGAGGAGGGAGGAGAGCAAAGGTGGGACAGGGCCCAGGTCAGAAGTAGGTGACTGGGGCCAGGCGGTGGTGGCGCACGCCTTTAATCCCAGCACTCGGGAGGCAGAGCCAGGCGGATCTCTGTGAGTTCGAGGCCAGCCTGGTCTACAGAGCGAGATCCAGGATAGGCACCAAAACAACACAGAGAAACCCTGTCTGGTGGGGGGGGGCATGGGGAAAGAAGTAGGTGATTGGGCCTGCAGCCCTTCCTCCTGACCAGAATATATAAATAAGCACTTGGATCCATAGCTCTGCACAGGATAAGACAGGTGAACCCTGAGAGAGCCCTGCCTTCCCTAGATTTGAAGGTCATGGCTGGAGAGATTGCTCAGCAATTAAGAACCTGCACTTTCTGAGGACCAGAGTTCAGTTCCCAGCACCCACATCAGTTTCCAGCTCACAATTAACCATAACTCCAACTCCAGGGATACAATGCTCTCTTCTGGTTTCTGTAAGCACCCACAGACACACACACCATATACACAGAAGAAAAATTAAAATAAGTCTTTAATTAAACAGTAAGTTCAAGCCTGGCATGGTGGCACACACCTTTAATCCCAGCACTTGGGAGGCAGAGGCAGGTGGATCTCTGAGTTTGAGGTCAGCCTAGTCTATAGAGTGAGTCCAGGACAGCCAGGGTTACACAGAGAAACCCTGTCTCAAAAAAAAAAAAAAAAAAAAAAAACCCACATGGGTTAAGTTCAAGAGCATTCTCAACTACAGCCTGATTAGAGACACTGTCTCAGAACATTTTTTTCTTCAAAGTAATTAAAGTGCACCATTAAGCTCAGCAGTGTGGAATATTATTGACTGAAAACAAAAATTGCCATGGGGTAAGTAGAGTTCAGTGGCAGAGCACTGCCCTTGCATGCATGGGGCTTATGTTCAAGTCTCAGCATAAATAACTATCCAGCTTATGTAACATGTAAGGCTATCATATCTTCTACTTTGATCATTTTTGCTAAACCATGTTTGTCCACTAATTTCTCCAACTACACTTAATGTTCAAATATTCTGCATAGACTCTTAGCAATTTCACAGCCCACATGCTCTGGGGAAATGTCACCCTTTGTCCTGATTCTTATTAACAGTCCTTTCTCACCTGTTTCTCAAATGTTCTTCAGTGGGAGCTGAGTTTCTTAAATGCACAAGGGCCACCCACCTCTCTCTTCCTCCCCACCTCTCTCTCTCTCTCTACAGGGGTTTAACTGGACCCTCTTCATACAAAGTGTGCTGTCCTCTGTCCAAATCGATCTGTTACCAGATGAGGAGGTGGTGGTCTATGGTATCCCTTACCTGCAGAACCTTGAAGATGTCATTGACATCTACTCAGCACGGTGAGGCAGGGGGGAGGTTTCCACAGCAGTTTTGTCCTTGCCCCACAACACACACATACACAGAGAGAGAGAGAGAGAGAGAGAGAGACAGAGAGAGAGAGAGAGAGAGAGAGACAGAGAGAGAGAGAGAGGAGAGAGAGAGAGAGAGAGAGAGAGAGAGAGAGAGAGAGAGAGAAAGTTCCTTTTTTCAGGAGAGGATACCAACTACTTCTCAGGTGTGAGGGACACAGAGGTTCAATCTTGGTGTCCACGGTGCCTCACCCTGGACATGTGAATCCTGTAGCTGAAAGTTTTTCTGGGTCCCGCCCAGTCCCCAGCCACTCAGACCCAAGTAAACACACAGAGGCTTATATTAATTAAAACTGCTCAGCCATTAGCTCAGGCTAACTACTGACTAGCTCTTACACTTAAACTCAGCCCATTTCTGTTCATCTATATGTCACCACGTTTTCCGTGGCTTTACCTGTGTGCCATTACATGCTGCTCCCTAGACAGCAGGCTGGCGTCTCCTGACTCAGCCTTCCTCTTCCCAGAATTTTCCTTGTCTGCTTATCCTGCCTATACTTCCTGCCTGGCTACTGGCCAATCAGCGTTTTATTAAACCAGTGCACAAAAGTATTATCCACAGCAGAATCCTATCAAGCATGAGAGACAAACAAGCTAATTCTTAGAGAATCTAGAACCCTGCTTGGTGTAGAACCTGCTGGCTAACCTGTGTTTCCTCCCTTGGCAGACAGCCACTCACCTGTCCGATTTCACTTCTGCTTCCACTAGGACCATGCAGAACTACCTGGTGTGGCGCCTGGTGCTAGATCGCATCAGCAGCCTAAGCCAGAGATTCAAAGATGCGAGGGTGCACTACCGCAAGGTAAGTGCATCATTCATTCATCTCAAGATGCTAAGCGTAAGCTGTGGGCCATGCACGGTCATCACTGGGGTCTGGGATAAGAACCTGATAGACAAGGCCCCGGTCCTTCTGGGACAGTCAACAGTCAGAAGCCTGGGCTGTCAAAAACCAAGTGTGACCACAGGAGGGACCAGGCATGGTAGGGAGTGCTTGATAGAGGTCACTTTGGTTTTCAAGACATAAGGAGACTAGGACAAGCTTTGGGTGGTGTCCAGGCAGACCACCAGGTCTGAGTGGGACCCTAGCTTTTCCAGAGTAAAGACAAGTCCCCTCAAAACAGCACAGTGGTCTTCTCATGTCCATGGCCAGCATCTGGTCTGAGTCATCCTGTGTCCCCCTCCTGGGTACCCTGAAGCTCATGGTGGGAGGATCTGCCTGCCTCACAAGCTCAGGGCCCCAGAGATGACCTGGGAAGGTTAAGCATTGGCTCACGGGATAGAATGAGTGAGTGAGTGAGTGAATGAATGAACACACCAGGCTCTGTACGGCACAACCGTGGAGGAGGTGCGCTGGCGGGAGTGTGTCAGCTATGTCAACAGCAACATGGAGAGCGCCGTGGGCTCCCTCTACATCAAGCAGGCCTTCACCAAGGACAGCAAGGAAATGGTGTGTAGCCTTGACCCCAGTGGGCACTGTCCGCGGCAGCTCTCAAGCTCACCCTGGGACAGCCTCCTGGCACGGATACCAGCCCCATCACCACCACCCCACCCGGTGACTCCCATTTGTAGCCATTTCAACCCCTATTTCCTCCCCCTAGAGGGACATGCATTAATACCAGTGCCTACCAGAACGGAGGAAGGTCAAGGAAACCCTGCCCCCAGGTGCTCCTGACCATGAGCTCCAGCCCTGGACCCTGTTAGGCCCCTGGGAAAGGCACAGATTGTATGTATGGGTTCTGAGCCCATGGCAAGCGAGCCTCCAATCCACCTGTGAGGCTCCAACTCTGAGCCAGATAAGTCACCCCACATCAATGCCACACCCCTCCCAGGAGGTCAGGGGCAGGGCAGCACTGGCCTCATCCTGAAGATGTCCTAGACCAAGCTTGGAATGCTGGTCATGCCCCCTAGACCAGCATAGGACATGAGGATATGCATCCCCTCAGGTCAAAGAGCTGATTGACAAGGTAAGATCCGTGTTTGTGGATACCCTGGATGAGCTGAACTGGATGGATGAGGAATCTAAGAAGAAGGCCCAGGAAAAGGTGGGTGAGCTACAACTTGTGTGAAAACCTGAGGGGAGTTCCTGTGGTCAGGACCCTCTGCTGGAAAGACAGGGAGGGAAGCTGGAATAGGTGTCATGCCTGGGAAACCCCCAGAAAACAGAAGTGGGCTCCGTGATCTGAGACTAGGACCTACTACCCAAGCTCCTCTGGGCCCAGTGACAAACCACAGTCACTTGACTCCTGAGCACCCATACAGAGCCCCACCTACGTGTCTGGTTCTGCAAGCTGATGAGGGAACATGTCTGTTACCCCCCTTACCCACATAGTAGGGAACAGAGCTGGCCTGTGGGACTAGGGCCCTCCCATGATGGATGATCCTAGCTGTCCCTCCTCTGTCCAGGCCATGAACATCCGGGAACAGATCGGCTACCCTGACTATATCTTGGAAGAACACAATAGGCACCTGGATGAGGAATACTCCAGTGTGCGTACCCATCAGTGCTCTGTCTGGCCCCTCCCCAAGCCCCCTACCCTGAACCACCCCTGAGGAGGGGGTACTCCATGTCTGCATCCTTTTGTTCTCTTAGTTGTTCACTCAGCCATACTTCCACACCCTGGAGTGGCTCTAATTTCACCCTGCTAACAGATAGAGAAACTGAGGCCCAGAGAAACTAAACTTTCTGAAAGTCACATACATGCTCAGAGCCAGAGTACCTTCCCCACACTTACCTGTTTCAGGAGCCTGAGGGCCACATGCCAGCTGACCTGTGGGTCTCGAGACCTTTCCCCAACCCCCAGCCCTCCCTCTGACACTTTGAGGACTCCGCCTGAGTGCCAGTCGTATCAAGCTTTTTTCTTATCCTAGTTGATATTCTCAGAGGAACTGTATTTTGAGAATGGGCTTCAGAACCTCAAGGCCAGTGCCCAGAGGAGCCTGAAGAAGCTTCGGGAAAAAGTGGACCAGAACCTGTGAGTGGAGTGACTACAAGGCTAGCCTGGCACACAGAACTTACCCACTGGCTAGGGGTGGCTGCATGAGTCTGGCCTGATGCCAGCTAAAGAGGACACAAGATCTAAGCCCTCCCCTCCTCAGCACCCTCTGCTTTGGGGGCCTCAGAGAGGAACCAGACCTTGGGCTTGACTTAGGACACTACACTAGCTGGCCACTATGCCATGGACCTCTTCAGGGCAGGATCTGGTCAGCCAGGACAGAGGGACCATAGGGAGGGTCCTGGCAGATGTGGACTCCAAATGACCAGTGTGTTTACCACAGCTGGATCATCGGGGCTGCCGTGGTCAATGCGTTCTACTCACCAAACAGAAACCAGATCGGTAAGCCCACCTTGCCTCTCTAGTGCCAGCATACAGCCCCGCACCCTTGCTCAGGAAACCCCCAGTCTAATCCCAGAAAGGAGAGTGGGTTCCAGTCTCTTTCATGTTGCCCTGTGGCCCACCTCGAGGGTTGTAGGTTGGAAGGGACACAGAGGAACTGTCAGAGAGTATGTTTGATGAGGTAGCCACGGGTGGGAAGAAACTGGGCATGGGCGTCGACCTAGCACTCCTATTTTACTCTCTGAGCCTCAGTCTCCCTGCCCGTACCTTGGGCAGGGAGCCCTAACCTCCACTTCCTAGGCCACAGCATTAGATGGCAGGCCCAGCAGAGGTGCCCACCTGAGCCTTGCACACAGAAGTACCCACTCACGGTTCCTCTTTGTCACCCTTTCGGGGACAGTGTTTCCTGCCGGTATTCTCCAGCCACCCTTCTTCAGCAAGGAGCAACCACAATCCTTGAACTTTGGGGGCATCGGGATGGTGATCGGGCACGAGATCACACACGGCTTTGATGACAATGGTAAAGGGGCATATGGGAGTGCCCCAATCACAGATACACCTGTAAGTCACACGCACACACTCCCACTCTCCTGAGCAGCCTGGGATCATCCATTCAATCTCTCAGTAGATTAGCTGGACAGGGGCCTTGCCTGGTCTCCATCCCTGGAGGGGCTTCCCTGTTTGACTCTTAGGGCCTGATGCCATCTATGAGGTCTCAGCTGGTTTTCCCATGTGGCTCAGCCAGGGGGATCATATGAGGGTAGCCATGTGCCCCCTCACCTGGGTTTAGATCAGCTGAATCTGAGACTACTGGTCCTAGCTTTCATGGGCAAGGATGGGGTGGCATGGAAGCTCTCCTGAGCAGTCCTCAACATGGGACTGTGTGCTCAGAACCCCTGAACTCTAGCTGCTGGAGAAAGCATCTAAACATCCAAGCGCCGACCTGGCCTGTCTAGAGGGGTGCAGGAGGGCAGTGAACGCAGGGGGACAACGTGCACGCACTCTGCTGCCACACAGGTCGGAACTTCGACAAGAACGGCAACATGCTAGACTGGTGGAGTAACTTCTCGGCCCAGCACTTCCGAGAACAGTCACAGTGCATGATCTATCAGTATGGCAACTTTTCTTGGGACCTGGCCGACGACCAGAATGTAAGCATATCACCAGCAGTGGCCCCGCACCTGCATCCAGCCCCAGCCCCAGGGGACAAGACGGGGCCAAGGCGAGGCTGCGCCCCATCCTGTCTCTTTTGTGCAGGTAAACGGATTCAGCACTCTCGGAGAGAACATCGCTGACAATGGCGGAGTACGACAGGCATACAAGGTGGGCCCTAGCAGAGCCCTCAGCGGGAGCTGAGATAGTCTTAGCATGGCAGGGCAATGCCCAAACTAGGGCTGCGTCCCAAAAACCCTCCATTTGGACTGGGAAGGAAGCAGAGACCCAAATCCCATGGTTGTATATCTGACATCTCACCCATTTCCCACATGAGCTAGTATAGGAACCTTTTGTTTGTTTGTTTGTTTGGTCTCCTAATAAGTATACAGGGTAGAGACAACATGACCATGGGCCTCAGCAGCCCACATCAACAGCCTTGGGAATAGAGCACTGGATACCAGGAGCCCATATGGCTGGACTCCAGGTGGCAGCTATATGGCCAAGGGTCCCACAGAGCTCTGTTGGATAGGGCTGTAGAAGGCTACAGAAGAATTAGCTGGCTTGTACACAGCAGCCCTAAGCTGGGGAGGCAGGGTACCCACCTAGGGAAGGTCCTGGAACCAGATCATTCTACGTGGGGTTCTCTGGAAGCCTGGCTGGACCGAGCCCCGATTTGGTGCTTGCAGGCTTACCTACAGTGGCTGACTGAAGGTGGCAGGGACCAGCGACTGCCAGGACTGAACCTGACCTATACCCAGCTTTTCTTTGTCAACTATGCCCAGGTAACTTCTAGTCCTGGTCCCCACGCTCACAGCTTTGGAGTGCCCACTATAGGATACATCCAAGGGCACCACGAGCTTATGACACCCAAAAACCAGAACCAGCAGGTCTGGCAGGCTTCCTAGAGAAAGACTGAAGCTGGTAATTAGAAGCCAGCTGGGGAGGAGGCAGCAGACGTGGAAGGAAGGAATCTGTTGGTCTCTACTGCAGAGGGTACTGTTCCAGCCCTCAGGCCAGTAACCAAGCCACTCACGTACCTCTAGGTATGGTGTGGGTCCTACAGGCCTGAGTTTGCCGTCCAGTCTATCAAGACTGATGTCCACAGTCCTCTTAAGTACAGGTAAGTGTACAGTCCCTAAGCAAGCATGCATGCCTGACCCTGCCCTAGCCCCTCCCCACATCTCAGACCTCCTTGGACTTGCTGGTCCACAGGGTACTGGGCTCACTACAGAACCTGGCCGCCTTCTCTGAGGCATTCCACTGCCCACGGGGCAGCCCCATGCACCCCAAGAAGCGATGTCGCATCTGGTAGCCAAGGCTGAGCTATGCTGCGGCCCACGCCCGCCTGCCACCCAGAGGCTTTGTGAAAGGTGCAGCTGGCAGAGATGTGCAAGTCCTTGCCTGAAGGCCACTGGAGCCACCAGCCAGCCCTCGGCACCTGGCCTAGAGTGCAGCCGTCTGCCCACACCTGGGATGAGTGGTGCCTGGTCCCGCGCCCCTTCAGGCCAGTGAGGGTCAGCGGCCCTGTAGAAGCTGTCAGCTGTCTTCCACCCTCTCCATAGCGCGGCTAAATGTCCTCGAGCTTTCAGACTTGAGCTAAGTAAACGCTTCAAAGAAGACTTTGCATTGCTCATGTAGGAGCCAGGTGGGTGGTCAGGTGGAAGCAGCTGTGGCCAGGGGAGAATCACAGCTGATGGGGAGAAGGGTTCCTGACCACCTCCCAGAATCCTGGTGCTAAGAACCCTGAAGAGACCAGGATGCCACTAGAGGTCACCCTCTGGGTCTGTAGTTCAGATGCCTGGGCTTCCAGCACTGGACCTGACCTATATCCTGGTGACTCATGTCAGTACCTGGCAGAGGGACCTCAAGACCTGGGGAGCAGCAGGTGAAATGTGGAAGCCAGAGATGGTCTAGATGGCAAAGGGGGCATTACCTGCTAACTGTTTACAGATGGTCCCTGGATAGAGGGAGGACATCAAGGTGAATACTGCAGTCACCCTGGTTTGGACTTGGAAAGTGCTAAGCTGGTCATCAGAGCCCACCTAGAGGGAAGAGCCCTTGAGAAGGGGAGACCTGAGATGGTAGGGTGTCTGGAGTTCTGCTCAGACCTTAGGACCCTGGGGAAAGAGATATGCTCAGCCAGACCCAGGCTTCTTCCAGGACAGCACCAGCCACTCTGATCAGGAAAGGGTTTCCGGCTCAGTCTTCATCTAACACCTCTTCCCTGAACCCACTCAGCCACCAGCCTCCACCACAGACACAAGCAGACACCTCCCTCCCCATTCCCTGCAACTGGGCTCCGTGTGGGGGCTGGGGCCAGAGTCCTAGTCCACATCCCCCAACAAAGTGGGCTACAGTGTTAGGCAGCCTTGGAAGGAAATGACACTGTTGTCCCCAGGGTCCCATAACCAAAGCCTGAAATCTGTCCTCCAGGAAGATGACACTTGGACATCCCTCCTACCTGAGGGGACCAACAGTATAGTAGGAACTACAGAGGATGCAAAGTGGGGAAGCAGTGAGGACACTCACTGCCCAGGATGTGCACTTTAATAGCTCATTGCTGTTCAGGATGAGACAATGTCCAGTATCCTGTCCCAGTGGCTCCACAGTGATTCTCTCCAAATACATCCAAGGTTGTTGATGCCTCCAAGTCCTCAGAGGCCAGGTATCACCTCCCACACACCTCTTCATCACACTGTAGGGGTAACAGGGACCCTGTCAGTCTGGTCATATTCCTCAGAGGCCAAGAGCAGTGGTACCCACCCACTGATCGAATAGGGAAGGAGGCATGCTGGACATAGGAAACAGTCTAACCCATGCATTACTCCCTTCTACCTGGAGCATAGGAGGTGGAACCACACAAAGGCCTGACAGAGACATCGAGGACATAGCCCAGCCTTCCTCAACCCACAGCCTTCTGTTTGTCCTGCAGCTCCTGCCCAAAGTGGGCCCACTGGCTTCACTGCTCTCCATCCCTTTCAGTCTATCCCCCTCTACAAGCCGAGTCATAGAGACACGTCTACATCCCAAGGCTGCCAACACACAGAGAGCATTATGTAAATCCCAAGAGGCTGTAGCTCAGTTCCTGGCCATGCCAACCACTGTCCCAAAGGGATATAAATATATATATATGTAATGTAATATATATATATATATGTGTGTGTGTGTGTGTGTAGATGTGTGTATATATGTACACACACACACACACACACACACACACACACACACACACACACACACTTGGGGCTGGGGACAAGCAGTGTTCCCCAAGGCCTCTACTCACCTGGGGTGGCTTGCTGGAGCAGACCTCTGCAGAGATACCCAGGGCTTGCAGGATGTTCTCTTGGGGAACATAGTCTCCTGGAGACTTCTGGATGAAGTGTAGCAGTACTTTGTCACCACCTGTAGCCACAGGCAGGCAGTCAAGTTGCTTGTATCTTACACCCATGTGCTAGGAAGACAGAGGGTAATCCACTAACCAAGCCAAGCAGCCCCCAACCTCACACCCAGGTACACAAGACCTGGGGGGCGGGGCTGTGAGGACATGGACCACCAAGATGGGCAAGATGGAGTCCTATGCCTGCCCTGACCCACCCTTGCTGACCACCAGCAGCCCTCCACTCTGCAGTAGGTCACCAGACAGGTTCCCCTGGATGCCAACAGCCTTAGCCTAGAAAGACAGGAACAGGACCCAGGTCAGTCCCATAGGGAAGTCCCCAGGGACTCCCACCATGCTCTAATCCTGTATGATCTTGACCACCACAGACCTTGGAGGCTACATCACGCACAGGTTTTCCCAGGGCAGCTGGCAGGATGCTTAAGCTGTTGTACCTACAAAGACACAGGGTCCCTAGTCCAGATTCTGGAGAAACACAAGCACCCACACCTGCTCCCAGTGTCCTGCTCCACCCACTTATCTTACCAAGGGCTCAGCCAGATCAGCAACCAGCCTAACCAGGACCATCTACAGAAGCATAGGGAGCCCCAGGCTGAATACAGCTGACCTGAGGCCTAGGAGAGGTGGTGGAAAGTGAGGACTGAGCTCCAAGCTGGGTGTGCCCAGGGATCTGGCTCGGTTGGCACTGCCCATCATGACAGACAGTCTGTGGCAACAGAGGACTGAAATGGGCCATGACTAAGGCATGGGCTCCAAGGTCCCTCCTGTTTATGAAATTGCAGACTGCTGAGGGCAGGCCTGGCTTGGACCATGAGAAGACCCCAAAGAAGGGCTAGCTGAAACTGCCCATGCCACCAGAGTCGGTTTCCAGGGGACAGACTCAACAGCACAGCAGAGGGTGGTAGCAAGAAGATGCCTAACAGAGCAGTGGCCACTCTGTCCTGTCCCTAGCTAGTCTCATGCTCCCACAGTCACACTTACCGCTTGAAGCCCAGCTCCTTATACAACTGCTTGCTCTCATCAAGGTAGAGTTCTAGAAAGGAAAGCCACAGGTATGTGTCCAGGCCTCCTACGTTCTGCCGTCTGTCCCCTCCACTTACGGTGTCCAGCTCAACCCAACCAAGCCAAGAGGAGCAAGGAGGGATTGAATGTCAGCACTGCTTAAACGGGAAGGGCAAAACTCACTGGGACTTTGCCACTAGGTCTAGGCGCCAATGCACAGGCTGGAGGAAGGGCAGGGAGAGCGGAAAGAGCTGACATAGGAATATGTTCCTGCTGGGCCTGGAAAGGGATGGCTAGGGCTTGGCGAAGAGGCCAGCCAAGGTTCTGAGTCCGGGAAGAGTCGCACCTCCTGAGAAGTAGCCACCATCCAGGAACTCCTGCAGGCCCAGGGCCTCAGGCCCCACGCCCACTAGGCGCACATCGTTTTGATCCAGGAAGCTCCGGAGGTTGCTGAGGTCCTGGGCGATCCAACGGCACACTATGCAGCCGAAGCGTCTCAGACCGGCCACCACACAAGCTTTATCCTGCCAAAGGCTCCGCAGCTCCACGGCCTGAAGAATGGAGCTGTCAGGGGGCGTGGGCTCATTTCCTTAGGCCCTGCAGCCCCATGTGTCCCGCAGTGCCCACTGGTCCTCCTGCTCTGTGAGCCACCAGCTATACCCACGCCCAGCATGCGAACCCATGGGACCCCTCAGGACCCCCATTCTAGCCCATGTGAGTAGGCAGGACACCGGGGCAGGTGCTGGGATACGTTCTCCGCCCTGCGACGGTCAGGCCTCACCTCCCCTGTCACTGCATGCTTCAAGACACACGCGCCTACGCGACTAAGGTCCACCGCACTCATGGCTTCCTCGGTCCCTTTCTGCTCCGGGCCCCGCGGAACCTCAGTCGGTAACACTCCGCCGCTTCGCCCGGTCAAGGAGGGCGGCACTATCTCCTGGGGACCGCTGGGCCACGCCCTTGTCCCGCCCCAGACCCCGCCCCGGAGAGCCCAGCACATTAGCACTCCCTCCCCTCGCTGAAGATTCGTCCGCCTACGTGGGGGAGGAACTGAGTTACTTATTTGCATATGCATAAGCCCGTTGGCCAATGGCGTAGCAGGGGCAGCTCGACGGACTTCCGCAAGCGGTGCGCCTGCGCAGAATGCGTTCGTGGGGCTGTCGGCTTGCGTTAGGTGGCATGTACAAGTGCTTCAAGGCAGTGGCGTTGGCGTCAAGAATTGAAGCAGCGACCCGAACTCACGTGTCACCAGTGTGAGGGACAGTAGGGCAGCGGCACTTAATTACAGGAAAGGACCAGCCTTTCCAGAGCTTGGGTTCCTGCTTTGAAAATTCCCAGAGTGTCGCATTTTCTCAAAAATCTATTGGCTTTCGTCATAAAGTACGTTTCCTGCTGTGTTTATGTCAGCTTTTAAACCATAGACTCGAGAGTAAAACAACCCGAAGGAGATAAGCAGAAGCTCACAGCAGTGTGCCCCCATGGAAGAGTAGAGGGCTTGGGAATCCTCTTGTCCTGGTCTTTCCCCAGTAAGCCCTGTGATGTGAGCGACCATTGCCAAGTTCAGGCCCTGCTTGACTGGAGTTGGGCACAACTTGGGCAGCCTGACCAATCAGGCAGTAGGTCTTTTGCTCCTGGAACTGGCTCTATCCCCAGGCCCACAAACAGATGCAAAGGCTGGGAAAGGAAGAGAATCACCATGATACCCAAAAGTGGTGAGGCAGAAGTCAGAAAGTCAGGAACCATGTTACCATGTCAAAAGGAGTAGAGGTGAGGGCCTGGAGAGATGGCACCAGCTGCTCTTCTAGAGGACCCACAGTTTGGTTCCCAGCATCCCCATAGTGCCTCACAACCCTTCGTAACTCCATTTCTAGGGCTTTGATGCCCTCTTTAGTTACCAGGCATGCACATGGTGCACAAACATGTATGCAGGCAAAACACTCTAAACACAAGAATAGGGCTGGGGAGATGACCCAGTAAAGAGGCAGGTGTCTGTAATCTTAGTGCTGGGGGAGCAAAGACATGAGTATCTCTGGAGCTCACTGGCCAGCCAGTCTAGCGGAACCAGTGAACTCCGTATTCAGTAATAGACCTTGTCTCAGGAAATAAGATGGAGAAGGACTGAGGAAGACAGATCAACCACTGGCCTCCACTGGCATGCACAGATGCACACACAGGTGCATCAACATATGTACAGAAAGGAAAGAAAATAAAAAAGCAGAGCCCAGAGGAAGAGCTGGTCTGTAGAGAATGGCCACTGGTTCCAGGGGCACCACCAGAAGAAAGCCAGAGATGGGGCTCCTCTACGTGCTCTTCAGTGTTGAGGGGTACAGGAGAAGAGGGTCCTTCCCAGGAGGGTGGGAAGAAGTCTGCAGAAAGTGCTGCATGCTGAGCAAGAAGAGCCAGCAGGCCTGCTCCATGAAGCAACTCACACACACCCACACCCCCACACACACATCTAGAGTGTGGCAGAGCCTCACCTCCATCCTCACGGGTCCTAGATTGACCTGGGAATTAAAATGTGGTGTGACAGATCAATAGGAGGAAAGCACTGTAGAGTCTTCGCTCCAAGTTTTACAAAACAGAGGTTCCTAAACTAAGGATGTGAAGCCTTGGAAACATGAGGCCATTCCTGTGTGCTACACAGGACAAAGAATGATAGTAAGCTGAGGGGAGGTGTGTAAATTATGTGTGGAGGCAAACCTGTGAATTGTTTGAACAGGATAGCTTCAGAATTCTATCAGGACGGCTGACTTCTTCACTCTCAAGGACAGGGTTATGGTGTTTTCCTCCAGGGTAAGGAGGGCCTCTTTGGCATGATCATTTTAGCTTCTGCTTTTATTGGTTCTTATGCCAAACCAGCAAAGTCAGAGTGGTATATTCTTGACCATCTCACAAATATCAATAACACATGGAATTAAACAATATTCAAGTAAAGAAGTGCCAGCCTCAGAGGCAGCTGGGTTTATCTGCCTGTAAACCTTAATCCATCAACTTGTGTCTGCTTTCACTGGGTGTGCTACAGTAACAACCTAAACCAGTTGATCACAGCAACCAAGTTCTACCTCCTGCTCCTGTGTGTCAGAATGGTGGAGCTCTGCTCCTGGTGCTTGCTTCATGCTAAGGTCCAGGCTACGGGAGCCATGGCACTCAGAACACGCCTTTCTCCTGGCAGAGCAGAGCTGGGGCACATGCCATTGGCCAGAGCTCAGCAATGGCCAGGTGGATGCTGGGGGCAGGGAAGTATGTGTCTTCCACAAAGCATTTTCTAGCCTGGAAATGAGCAAGCTAGCTATCACTCATCACTGTTATCAGAAAATATGAGACTCAGGGCATAAATGCAAGGGATAGGGTATAATTACTTGTGGCATAGCAGACTGGAGGGGCCTCTGTGTGTGTGTGTGTTGCCCACAAACAGGGTGATGTAGAGGTCCCTCAAGAGTTATCAGGGCAAACACAACCCTCAGCAATGTCCCTGAACAGTGGTTGGGTAGAAGAAGGAGGATCCATCTATCTTACGTCACTGTTGTATTGCTGTGAGACGACACCATGACCAAGGCAACTATTATGAAAGAAAGCATTTAATGGAGAACTTGCTTACAGTTGTAGAGGTTTAGTCCATTTTCATCATGGATGTGATTGATAATGGCAGCAGGCGGGCAGACACTGGAGCCGTAGCTGAGAGCTATATCCTTATCGTTAGGCAGGGAGAGAGAGAGAGAGAGAGAGAGAGAGAGAGAGAGAGAGAGAGAGAAGAGAGAGAGCTCAAAACTCACCCTCTGTGGAATACTTCCTCCAACAAGGCCACTCCTATCCTTCTAATTCTTTCAAATAGTCACTCCCTGGTAACTAAGCATTCAAATATATGATCCTATGAGGCTATTCTTTTTTTTTTTTTTTTTTTGAGCTGAGGATCGAACCCAGGACCTTGCGCTTGCCTACCATTGAGCTAAATCCCCAACTCAAGGCTATTCTTCTTTTTTTTTTTTTTTGGTTTTTTGAGACAGGGTTTCTCTGTGTAGCTTTGCGCCTCTCCTGGAACTCACTTTGTAGCCCAGGCTGGCCTCGAACTCACAGAGATCCGCCTGGCTCTGCCTCCCGAGTGCTGGGATTAAAGGCATGCGCCACCACTGCCCAGCTTCAAGGCTATTCTTATTCAAACCACCACACCATCCTTGGCTCACATTGCAGAAGTAGAGGGAAAGTCCAAGAGAAGCCTGCCTCTTTTATCTGGAGATGTCAGAGGTCAAATAGCCCTCAAAGGTCACGCTCCAGGCTGCCATTTTTGACCAAATCATGGTAGTTTGGCTGATCTGGGGGAGTTGGGGGCTGCAGGCACCATGATTGGCAACCAAATGATCTGTGAAGAGGTGAGAATGAACATTCAATTCATCCTGACTTAGGCTGAATCAGACTCTGCAGTCTGATGCCAGGCAGTTTATTGCCAGCATATTTAAACACAGTTTGGAAAAGTTTCCTGGTATAATACAATTCCTGTTGCACAGAAGACATAATTACATTGAAATTCAACTCAAAATCCATGTCATTTCTTCCAAGAAAATGGGTTTTAGAGATAGGCTACTTGTATTAGCTTAAGAGCCTAGAGAAGGATCTGGTGTGGTCTTGGTCATACAGATAGCATAGAGGTCATTTGGGCTATTAGCCACCTCTAGACCTGGCTGTGGGAGCTTGGGGGAGCCCCTGGCTATACAGATGATGTAAGGGGCATTTGACTACTAGTCACTCCTGGCCCTGGTTGTGGAAGCTTGATATGGCCCAATCCTACTGATAATGCAGTACTGATAATCTCCAGGCTGTTAATCACCTCCAATTCCCAGCCTTCTGGATAGAAAAACAGGTTTTGTGTGTAATGGGACTTTCTTTGGACTGCCAGCTCCCAAATAATGACACAGGGACTTCTTATGAAATATGAAAGCTTAGCTTTAGCTTAGGCTTGTTCCCAACTAGCACTTAAAACATTCCATTTATGTTAATCTATGTTCTGCCACGTGGCTTGTTACCTCTCCTCAGTACAGTACATCCAACTTCCCCTGCCTCTCAGATTTTTCCCCAAGTTGTTCTCTCTCCACAGAAGTCCCACCTATCCCCTCCTGCCTAGCTGTTCACCTCTTTGTTAAACCAATCAAACCACCTTAAGTGGGTGAGGTAAAACAGACACCTTCACAGTGTGATTAAATATCCTGCAGCATATATATCCTTTCCCTTGAGAGGACAGTCCTGCATGCTTAACATTCCTGCTTTTCCTGGTGACCTGTGGGTGCAAGGGCCTTTGTACTCCTAACACTGATCCACTGTGTAGCTGTTGAATGTAAGAGTATGACTCAGCCCCACACAAACAAGATCCCACTTCACGGCTGGGAGTAGTGGTACACACAGGAAGAAGATGCAGGTGGATCTCTGTAAGTTCAAGGCCAGCCTGGTCTATATAGTGAGTTCTAGGACAGACAGAACCAATAAGAGAGAGACCCTATCTCAAACAAACAAACAAAAAAAAAACAAATAAACATAAAAAAGATGTCATTTTCGTTTTCTACAGGTCAAGGGATATTGTAGGAGCCCTACCCACAGGAATGCTATTGTGTAGCTATTTATTCCCATTTGAAAATGTCCCTTCTAGAGGGCAGAGGAAAGTTCTTGAAATTCTGACAGTAAAGGAAACTTACAAGGCTCAGAGGAAGTTCCTGAAACTGAAAGGATTCAGAAAGCCCCTCCCCAAGATTGTAGAAATAGTAATGTCATCTTGGAAGTGAATTATCTCTACCCATTGAGCTGCATTTAGGTTGTACAAATAGCTCTGGAGATGAAGCTTTTGTGAATCATCACCCAGGCTGTTGGATTTTTTTGTGGTACAGAGCTGCCTTTGAGTTGATAGAAATACAAGAAACTCACTGGTTTCATTGAGTTTCCGTGATTTCATTTCTTTAGTTATTGTCAGTGATTAAACATTTGCTCACATCTCCCGAACAAATGTCACACAATACATGAAGAAGGAAAGC